TGAGGGGATTCTGCAGACTGTTGAGGGTTCAGCCTCCTGATGAGTCGGTGAAACTCCGACGAAACAGTTTGTCACAGCCCCTCGTTTGTTGTCCTCTTCTCTCTCTCTGCCTACGGTTTACCGGGCAGTTCTATTTGTGACGATATATGTATATTTTATTTTCTCTTCCAAACCTGGATGAAACCAGGATTTATTCTCTCCCAAACCTGACATGGTCTATAGGGGATTTATTTTCTCTTCCAAACCGGGGTGAAACCAGGATTTATTTTCTCGCCCAAACCTGGATGAAACTAAAACCAAGATTTATTTTCTGTTCCAAACCTGGATGAAACTAAAACCAGGATTTATTTTCTCTCCCAAACCTGGATGAAAAGTTGAAAACTAAGTGCTGAAGTTAACTCTCTCGTTCAGAAAACTACGTAGTCTTACACGATCGATGATTGCGCCAGGGAGTTTCCAGATGTACCTGACCAGATTTCCGTCCTCTTCAGTCCGGAAAGTCCCAATGGGTGGACTGAAGAAGAATCTGATGGTTTTGCTGGAAGACACCTTCCAAAAAACAGGAACCTTGAAAAGTTGAAAAAGAGCACTCAAAGATCTTTCCCCGATGCTCTGAGCTCCTCTCTGATGGCACCGATCATAAAATCCGCATGGCTAAAACGACGTTCTCCTCCACGTGGCCTTGTCAGCAAACGTCTTCTACAGATTCCTTTTTTTTTTCTTCTTTTTTTTTCCCCCGCCAGAAACAGGGTCTTGAGGTGCGAGGCGCTTCTCATTTCTGGGGGGTATTCGGTCTGGTCGCTCTCACCCTGGCAAGTCATAACAAAGTGAAATAACCACCGATATAACAGACTCCGACACTTTCTTTCGTTATGTCCGACAGAAAGCCTAATAAGCATTGATTGCTCCTTGCGGAAAAGGATTGACCCTCAGGTAAGATGTTTTTCCTTCCTGGATTCTGTCCGGTCCCTCAGGTAAGTCGTAATAAAGTGAAATAAACGCCAAGACAACAGACTCAGATACTTTCTTCTGTTATGGCATCGGAAAGCCTGATAAGCATTTTGATTGCTCCGTGCTAGAGAGGGTCGACCTTCAGGTAAGAGTCTGTAAGACTGTTTTCCCCCTCCTGCATTCCTCTCAGTCCAGAATTTACGCAGACCTCCAGATTAATGTCCAAGAATATCAAATTCGATTTCGTTTCTCGTGTTCCCATCTCCAGAATCTGCTGTCTTGTTTTGTCTTCCAAATTGCAAAATTGAAATTCAAAATTCAAAATTTAACATTTTTTTTTTTTCCCCCGGACCTTTTTGGACTTTTTCCTGTATTTCCCGACTTCCGAGAGGCTGTGATTCCGTAACAGAGCAATTTTCAGCTATGGATATCTTTCTAACTTCCTCTGGTGTCCTGCAATCCTCTAGCCTACGCCCTTACTCGCCATGCTTGGTTCTCTCCTCAGTCAAGAAGCTCCTCCGTCAAGTATCCTCAGTGTAACAGAAGTGTAACCTTTTGGAAAATCCCTTTATTAAATTATTATTTCTTTATTCGCGTCGCAGTGTGAAACGTTTAAAAACCTGTTTGGTGCTACCGCTACTGTGGTCCAACCATGGAAATTGTGGGGAGGGTAGCACCAAACAGGTTTTCAAACTCCATGTGCCTACTGTCAACTCCATGCCTCACCTGTCAACTCCATGCCTCCCCTGTCAACTCCCCTGTCAGGGCAAGGGAGTTGACAGGGGAGGCATATGGAGAGGTCCTACCGTCTTCACCCGAATAGAACGCGCGGTCATTATGGCCGTGTTTGGCACAACTTTCGGTCCAGATGCAGCGATAATGACCGGGGGTTCTATTCGGGTGAAGATGGTAGGTCCTGTGCAAGTTGAAGACTGGACTCATGATGCTCACTGAGCTTGGCTGGATCTGTGTCACTCAAATTTTCTGAGAGCAGAATGTGGACTGATGTTGGTTGCACTATTTAGCCTGTTTATTTATTAACTTAATAAATTGGTTGGAACTTGCAACGTTTGCTGTCCCTGTCTTGTCCGTTGGAACACCTGCGTGCAGAACATGGCGATCGTGTGTGTGCGTTCCTTTTTGAGCCCATTCAAGGAGAAGCAGGGGTATGTCTCTCTCTCTCTCTCTCTCTCTCTCTCTCTCTCTCTCTCTCTCTCTCTCTCTC